CGCCGCCATTTCGCGACCCCGCCGACACGGGGGATATCGTGACTTTACTGCGCCGAGCCCTCCTTTTACAGACGGGCTGCGAGGGCGACCGAGCGGTCAGTGCTTTGGCGGAGCATCGGAGAAAGCTCTGGAGAGCGGGGGGGGGCTTATGCGGCCCAGAGGAGCCCCGTGGCCCACCACGGTTCTTGTGCCGTCACTTCAACAAAAACACTGAAAAAAAAACACTCTTAAAGCTGTTTTAAGAAAAGGATGACCTGGGAAAGAATGCAAACCAGCAAGAAAACGTGGAAAACCTACAAGATCGCTACGTGAGCGTGTGTGGGGCAGAGGGGCCAGCACGAGGGGCGGCAGTGCCGGGCCGGGGGAAGGTGCTGTCAGAGCTCACATAAAAATCCTTCTTCTTGGTGCCGCCTGCCTCGCCGGGAGGAAAAGCCCTGTCCCCTTCGCCTGCTCCCCCCCCCCCCACCAGCCCCCGGCCCTGTTTTTTATGATCTGGGTCATGTCTGAGGGGGATCCCTCTCCACAGCGAGCCCAGCAAAGCGCCACAGGGACCTGTGGCAGATGCTGCCCTGCCAGGCATCCCCACGTCCACCCAGGCCCCTTCCCTTCATGTATCCCCCCACACACTCTCCCAGTCCCGGTGGTGGGGGGGGATCACCTTTCTCTGATCTCTCTAATCTGCTTTGATCCTCCCCGATCGCATTACTGCTCGCCCATCGCCTGCACGTGCGCCTCTGCCTGCTCGCTTGTGGCAGTCCCACCAGCACAGGCAGCCCAAACCGAGAGCTCCTGCCAGCCTTTGCCAGGGTCTCGCAGGGGCCTCGTGGGTACAGACGGTGAACGTGACCTTGGGACCAACCATCTCCGTCTTGTGTGACAGCTGGGCCGTGACACAGAGCAGGAAGGCTGGGCTGCTGCGCTGGAAGGGGGAGCGGGAGGGGTGGCACGAGGCCCATGGGGAACCCCACAGCACTTAAAGGGTTCCAGCAGGCTGGCGGCAAGCAGCGAGACAAGGTCTCGTGAACAAGCGCCGTCAGCACAGAGTGGCCAGTTTGAGGCTGAGCAGGGAGATGCAGGGCTGGGGCTGGCCATGAAGTGAGCAGCAGCGGGCTGAGGTGTGGGTGAAGGGGCTCCCCCAGCCCCTGACACCAGCCCTGGAAACCTCTCCAGTGAGCACACTTGGCTCCGAGCCTGAGGATCTGGGCTAGACATCCTCCTCCTTGCAGAGAGGTAGCAAAGCCGAACCTAAAATGGTGAGGCATGCCTTCACACCACTGCTTCAATAGATTCCAACTATGAGAGGCAGCCCCAGCCCTGGAGAGCTTGGGCAGTAATGCAAATGCTCTCTCAGATCTAATGCTTTTATCTGGAAGAGCTCAGTCCCAGTGAAGTCAGCAGCTTTGCCAGGAGGAGAGAGAATAGATTTTGTGCTTTATTTCTTAGTCTTCTTGCCCTTGCCCTTCTTCTTCTTCTTCTTCTTCCTTTTTGATTTGAAGAGGGACCGGACCAAGTAGCCTCTCCAGAAGGCCTGGATGCGGGTGGCAGCAAGGGTCATGGTGGTGAATTCCTTCAAAGCCTGCTCCTTCTTCTCCTGGCATATCCTGCGCTCCTCCTCAATCTGGGAATACTCCTGGAGAAGCACAGCACGTTTCTCCATCAGCAGGGACAGCTGGGCCTTCTCCTCGGTGTAGGCAGCATTAACATCCTCATACTCAGCCTAGTAAGACAGCAGAATCCAGGTACAGCAATTTTAGGAACATTCAGTAGCTCTTCCCTGTACATCCCTAGGTGAGGGTTCTTAAACCTATCCTGAATCCAGGCAGAACCATGACTGGGAGCTGAGCTGAGCCTTTCCAAAGGGACTCAAAAAGGAGGCATGTGCCCAGTACTCGGGGAATTTCACGAGATGCCAGGTCCTACTATCTTCATGCTCCTCTGAAAAATACTCTCATAATTCTCCCTGTGTTGCAAACAGCATCCACCCTCAGCTGGGAACTCTCACCAGGTAACGACAAAGGCAGGTCCAAGCCCCTCCTGCAGATGCTCTGTGCAAAAAGACGTATCACTGCAGTTTGGGTAAGGCTGAGCCTGAGCTAACAACTTTGTTAAGAAGCCATTTAGATGAGTGGCACTGAAGCCTAGCTGATATGCTGTACGCTGTTGAAAGCATGAGAAGAGCCAGACCGTGTCAGCTTGGAAAAGGCCAAGTACAGGTAGTTTTAATGGTGTTGCTGTACTTCCAAGCTCAGCAGCAGTTTATGGCTTTTCTAATGCCTTTGAGGAAGCCACACGGAGGTGGAAGGTTAGGAGAACCAGCAGCGTGGATGTGTGTCTGCCTTAGAAAGTTTTCCCCCAAACCTGCCATGACATGGTGCTCCAGCCACCCCGCAGACAGGAAACCAAAATAATCACATTGTTAAACATCTGACAAGGGGGGACCATTTCTTACAATTAGCAGCCAGCTTCTAGGCCCCTCCCTACCTTTTGCTTTGTTAGTTATCCAGTAGCTTTTATCCATTTCCGTAAATAGGGCAAGAACAGGAAAGCAACTAGGGCCTTCTCAGAGATGAGGTTGAGGGGTGCTGATGTGATTCTCAGCTTGTTGTGGTTAAGTTGGATGCCAAGGCAGCAGTATGCAGGCTGTTCATTTTCTTAGCACTCAGCACAACTCTCAAGGGGGACAGCAGAAACAGGAGCATGATTTGGACACCAGGTAGGGCCAACAGGATAGAGGATTGAAGCAAAAGTGAAAAACCTGTTCCCTAGCATCAGGTGGGCATGTCTGAGGTCCACTGAATCTGAAAAACTGCCCCTCACTTCCACAGCCTCCTGTGTAAGAGCCATGTGTCCATTTGGACAGGAATCTACCTGAACATATCACCTCATGGGAGAGCAAAGCACTTCAAAGTGGATACCTGTTTTTCTCCCATGTCTGTGTCATATTTCTGGATCCAGTTCACAATTTCCGTCTCTACTCTGCATTTCCTCTGAAACACAAAGCAAGATAGGTTCCTTGCAGGCACCTGAAGCCTGGTAAAAAGTAGCCCAAGTTAGAAAACAGTGTAGCTTTGAAACCCAGCATCATTATATTGAGTATAACACCTCCTCCTTGTGGCAAGCTTCCTTCAGCTGACGCATATTTTTTTTTGCCTTGGTTTAGGGATTCTCGTCGGACATTACCTGAGGCCAAAAAGGACCTTATTTGGTTTACAGCATGGAGCTGGGGGATTGAAATGTATCTGAAAGGTGCATTCTGCAGTAGGAAATGAACATGTCTGATGGTATGTGGCATGTCATCGATAAATTGGGGCAACCACCCTAAAATTGAAGCAATAGAGAACTGCTAAACATGAAAGTGGGACAGAAAGTACTCAAATGATGATACCTTTTAAAACGAAGAGATATTTCCAGCTGTAAAACAGTTTAACAGTGCTATACTGCAGTATAACCAGGTATGGGCAGTTTACCCCAAAATGCTCTATCTGTGCTCTGTGGAATCATCAAGAGAAAGATCAGCTAGAGCTCATCACAAGTGCCACACGATTTCCTGTATGACACTGACCCAGGATGTCCCAAGGGCTCCCAGGCCATCATGAGGTCAGACCTCAGCTATTTAGACCACAAGTACAATCTTGGGCCACACAGGGCCTAGAGGATGTGCTAAGGAGGAGGAAAGGAGACCTCTGTGGTCAGTAAATCTGTCTGCCTCAGCATTAGAATGAGCTGAGCAACTCATCAACAAACACTGCAGTGGCCTGCAGCCTCAGAAGAAACTCCCCAGTAAAGCCACTCCATTAAAGGAGGTGTAAATGGGTAGATTTGGGATTTTGTACTGTGGCTCTAACTTGCACTTAATGCTTTGTCAGCGCCCAGCCCCACTGCCACTTTGCTCTACAACGGCCAATGCAAGAGTGAAAGATGCCTCATTACCAGTGTGTGCTGTCCTGCCCGTGGGAGGCCAGTGCTTGTTTGGAGTAAATACCTAGTAGGAGCAAAACGAGGGGGAAAAATGCTCTTTTTCCAGTTCCATATTCTCTGTGCTCTGTGTCAGCAGCATGTTCTGCTCAGGACAGAGCTGTTGATACAGAGGCCTGAGCCTGCCTGCTGCTCCTATTTCCTCCTTCTGTATCTGCTCAGCACTGTGATAAATCACATTTCCCCCTCATTCAACTCAACCCGACTACTTGGCTTGTGTCTTCAGCAAAGTGCCAGACAGAGTAGGAACTGCTTAGCTTCCAGATCAGCTGCGCTCAACCTTGAATACTACAAGGAACTCTAAAAGATGGCTTTATATAAAATTTGCTCTGCTTACCCTACACCAAATCCCTTGTTTCTTAACATATGCCTTGCCTAGTAGCCTTGCTGCTCTGCACTCTGACTAGACCACAGCCTCTCTAGCACGTGGTGTCACAGTGCTGTGTAGAGGTTTTCAGAGCTAAGTCAGCGGGCAGGAGGAGGACCTGTGAGCAGGCTACTTCCCTGCTGTCGCTGCAGGGTTGCTTTCCGCTGGAATCAGCAGAGCATGAGGACAGAGCAGGTACACTGTGACAAACAGCATGTGCATCCTGCCAGGAACTAGCAGGAACCAAGTAATTACTTGCAGCAGCCAGCAGCCAGACCTGACAGCACTACAAAAGGTTTTAAATCTCCTGTTCTAGAGCTCTCCTCCCATTTACCTTTCTGAGAGCCAGCTCTGATGCTCGATGCTCCAGTACAAGTGCATTGAGTTGTGCTCCTAGCTGCTGAATGTCCTGCTGTAGCCTGGCACACCTGGCCTGGGAGGCTTGCAGCTCTTCTTTTTGCTGTTTTTCTCCTTCCTGCTTGATCTGCTGGATGCCAGCCTTGCAGACTTTGGCCAGATCTTGCATGCTGGTTTTGAGGTCTTTGATCACATTGTCCTTCTTGTGAATCTAGACCCAGAAAACAAGAGAAAGAAATACCATCGAGAAATGCCAGTGAGGCATAAAGTGGGCAGGAGAAGTAAGGCACCCTTGCAAAGGTGCAGGAGACCTAAGAAGACACCCTGCTGATCTGGTAGCAACAAGGACCTGCCACTGCTGGTTCAGGAAACAGAGTTAGATTTACACAAGGTGCTTTGGAAACCTTCCCCCACTGCTCCTCTGGGAATCTGTTAATAAAGGTAGAGAATGAACAAACCATACCGAGACCCACTGGCACTGCCGTAGGAGGAAAAGCCAAAATCAGAGCCACTGGAGTGAGCCCCGTGGTTCCCTCAAGCTTTGGATTAGGCTCAGAGTGACTGTCTGGGGGATGCAGCTCAGCGTGCTGCCTGTGAAAGAAATCCTCAGCTGGGACCAGTGAAACAGATTTATTCATGATGCCCTGGACAAGCTGCCAAATTGCACATAAAAATCTCAAGTGTCTCGATTCACGGATCTCCAAGGAGCGGAGCAAATGGGGAAAGCAGGCCCTTGTCTCCGTTAGCACCATTCAGTGCAGCAAGCACATGACAAAACCTTCCCCCCGACCCCTCTTGCAGGAAGGAGAAAGAAAAGCATATGTAGAAAACAAAGGATTGCTTGTCAGGCGTTCAGGGGCTTAGATGCTGGCACAGCCCACGGACTCACAGAAAGAGCCTGGGAAATTCCCATTCGTTTATCTGTACCTCAGTTGCCTTCACTGAAAAAACGAAGAATTCGTATAATCACATATTAATCATAAATGCTCTAAGGCAGCTAGTATTACAGAGTTGGAAGTCACAGAAATGTTAGTTTTAAGCAAGAGTGAAGACAGAGCAGATATTAAAAATGGATTTTAATCAGGGCAATCTCTCCCCGGAATGACTTTTCATCATTTCATCAGCAGTGAACGAAGTCTTGCGCTGGCAGCTGCACCATAGCCCTGCCAAAACACTACCGCAGCAATTTGTGCCTGTCCTGCAGCTCCTTTTTAAACTCAGTGACTTGTGGCATTCAAGTTGGCCAATGAGAACAGGTTCAAAACATGCCAAATTCAAGTTTAAAAATATCAAGCATGCAATAAGCATTTTTCATTATATTTTACAATTAAAATAGTGTCTTTAAATACAGGATCTGGTTTAGAAATCATTTCTGGCACTTCCTTTTTCGTAACTGCAAGAAAGGGATCGTTTTTTAGCTTACCAAAGTTTTGCTTCAGTAACACTTTGTTGGAAAACATATTCCCACAATATCATACCTCCTCCTCTCGAGTCCGGATTGCTGCTGCCAGTTCTGCCTGTAAAGCTGTGATTGCTTCAGCGTTTTTCTTAATCTGGAGGGAGATGTCTTCCATGAACTTAATCTTTTCTTCTTCTTCCATGGGACTAGTCAGGAGTCGCTCAAGCATGAAATTCCTGAACTCCCCAAAGGCTTTGATAAACACTTCAGCTGGTGACTCTCTCGCCCGGGCTTCATATTTCAGAGCCTGGCAAAGCAAAGGGTTGGCCAGTAAGAGTCTCAGGACATTTCTAACAGAACATTTCAGACGTTGCTCTAGCAAGCAGAGACAGCCCCGTTGTTCCTCAGCTCTCGTGGTGTCCTCTTCTTCCCAGCTGGCAAGCAGGTGCTCCATTTCGTTTGAAAGCTTTTGGTGCTCGATCAAGTTGTTTGTGATCTCAGGTCCCAACATATCAGCAAACCTGTCCAGAGAGTCAATAATACATGGGATCAAACTGCTCATTTCCAGCTTGGCAATTGTCTCATCCAAGATGGTTATGATTCTTTCCGTCTCCATGCTATCAGGTTTTAACTGACATGGATCTAATGCCTTCATGGCATCTAAAGTGATCATTGCCTTCTCTGGAGTTGCCAAGCCCTTCACCAAGGGCTTCTTTCTTTGCTTCACATCCTGAAGTGATACTTGGAATATGGCTGGATCCCCTGCTGCCATGGCTTCAGTTAAACACTTGTGAGTTGAGTGTTTTGAGGTCTAGAAAGGACACAACACCTCTTACTCAGTCAAAGAACATCAAGGTCTCTCTGCTGCTGCTGTCACATATTCTTCTCACTTGGATTTTATCTCTAAAAGGAAAGCATGGTGACAGCATTAGAGAAACAATGTAATTTGGGAAAACCTGGGCGTTTCAGATTACTCCAGAGTTCTCCCTGGGTCTGTGCACAGGGTCAGGACATGGGGTCGTGCATCAGAACCCATCTCTATCCAAGAGAGGCTGTTGAACACCCACGGGAAGGGAGGAGAGTAATGGACTCCTGACTTTGAAGGGTGGTGGGGTGGGGAGAAAGCTCCCAACTGCTTCTGAGTAGCAGCTGAGGCGGAGAAGCATGCATTGCAGCTCTGCAATCCCTAGAGGTGTGTGGAGAGGGGCCACCTTGGAGGGAAGCGCAGGGCTGCCGGTGTGAAACATGCACCTCCATCCTTCCAGGTCTGGCTCTGCCAGAGGTGGGAGAGGGGATCTGGGTGCCTGGAGGGGCTGCGCTGACGGGATGAGGGCAAGAGGAGGGGGCAGTGAGGGGGCAGCTGTGGGGGGGAGGCTGACAGGGAGTGAAGGGTCCCCTCGGTGTGGGGCTGGGGGCACCAGGGGAACCCAGGGATCCCCCGGTTATGGGAGAGTCAGCGCTCGGGGTGTAGATTCCCGGTGGGGAGGACCCCCCGGGTGAGGGTCAGGAGGATCCGGGGAGGCGTCTGAGGAGAGGCCCGAGGCCTGGAGGGACAGCGGCCCAGGGGGGGATCCCGGGGGGTCGGGTGTATCTCAGGGATCGGCTCCCGGGGGCTGTCGGTCCCAGGCTGCCTCCAGTCCCTGCAGCTCACTCGGTCCCGGTCCTGGTCCCGGTCCCGCTCTCCACCGCCCCCGGCCCCGCTCTCCACCGCCCCCGGCCCGGACACCGGGCCCAGTCGGCCGCCGTAAGAGTCCTCCGGTTGCTAGGCAACCCAGACGGGGGTGGGGCCTCTCCGACAGCCTATGGCGATACAGCGTTTGCCCCGCCCCGTGCGGCCCCCAACACCTCAGCGTCGCCGATCGTTTGATGGGCAGCGCGGCTGTCCAATGAGACGTCCCGTGGGCGGTGAGCTGCCGTGAGGGGCGTGGGGAGCCATCTCGCTGGCCGAGGGCCCGGAGAAGGGAGCGGCGGGGAGCTGAGAGCCGGGAGGAGGGAATTGGCGGCTGTGGAGAGGGAAAGGATCCCGCTCTGTTTTTCTGACAGCTGTATAGTAGAGAAGAGGCGTCCCGAGCAGTGTCTGCTCACAGCAGCGTTCCCTCGGGGCTCCCCAGCAATGCATTCCTGAGAGTCCTAAATACAAGCCGAAAAATAAACTTTATACCCCCTGACATCAAGCATGTCCCAGGCCCTGGCCAGTTGTAAAAGAGCAAAAATGAAGTAGGGGGAGTGTGTCGATGAGTCGGTGTCCAGGAGCCCTGTGGGGGCTGGCTGTGCCACTGAGCATGGGGAAGGGCCTGCCAGCTGTTGGCCGGACAGACAGACAGAGGATGAGGGAATCAGACGGACAGAGGTATCGGGAGGACGAGGGAATTGGCAGCAGAGCCATCCACGGCACCCACGGGCTGTGACATGGGGCCTTTGCCAAGGAGAGCTTGCCGAAGGGCAGGCACGCTGCGCCGAAACACCCTCTGAGGACACGGCGTGTTCACGCACCTCAGGCAGGCTGGGGTTACGGGAATTCAGACCGTGTTGCAATATTAAATCAGGCAGAACAGAGAGTCTGACGAGGATTTGGAACGTCAGAACACCAGCAACAAAGAAATTACCCTAGCTCTACTATTAAAGACGACTGATTTTATAGGACTCCATTCACGGCCATAGAGATGCTAATAAACTCCAGCTGATTAAAATGCTGATGCCGCACATGCCCAATTAGCTGGTTGCCCATGAATTAGCGACGTCTGCAAAGAACATGTTGGCCCTTGAAAGCTGAGCGCGAGCCCTGCCCTCGCCCTGCTGTGCGGTCAGCGAGAAGGATGCATTTGGGGAGAGGAGGGCTTTGGTTTCCAGGAGGAACCTTGGCGAAGTGCCGAACGCCAGCCCGGGCTGCTGGTGATGCCAGCTCTGTCCTCGGGGGCAGGAACGAGGATGAAGCAGTGGCACGGCGGCTGTGGCACCCACGGGCAGCCTTGTCCCAGGTCTCGGCCAGCGCAGCGCCGCGCAGCCCTTTCCTCACGTGAGCAGTCCCTTTTATTTCTGTGCATAGCATGTCCGAGCCCGTGAATAAATCTCCAGCACTGGGGACTGTGCCCACTGGTCCAGCACATTGCTCGTTATTAATTATTTCCCTGCACAAAGCAAATTAGGGTCTGGTGATGGGAGATGCAGTGGGACTACCAGGGCCAGACTTAAGGCCTGGAACTGGTGAGGATGGATGAGAGGACACCCATGGAGGGGCCAGGCTTGCCCAGGTCTGCTGCCCCGCTGTACAGAGCAGGACCACGGGTCTGGCAGAGATGCAGGAGGAGGGCAGAGCTGCAGAGAGTGAGGAGGGAGCAGGCCTGTGTCGGCTCTGGGGTGTCAAACTGGACATATCTGGCTCATTACCTGGCTGGGGAAACAGTGCCACACATGGGCCACCTCCTGCCCTCAGCAACCCATCCAAAGCACCAATTCAAAGGCAACACCAGGATGCAGTGTGAGGCTAAGTCTGGGCTTGGGTCAAAAATGCTGCAGCCACTGGCACAAACCCTAAGCTGGTAGATATCCAGCCTGCTGTGGGTTAGAGCCTGCTTGCTCTAACTGCAAGTCTGGGACAGGCTGTCCCTCAGCCTCCAGCGAAAGCGCAGAGCTGTCCAGAAACACCTTCTCATGCTCTAATTTGGCAGATAAGATCTTGTGATCACCCATGATTTCCCAGCTGCAGGGTGATCAGGAGACATGGGATTTAAGCACAGTGGGGCTGTAAGATTACAAAGACGATATGCTGTCAGTTTTCTCTTTCCTTCACAGCAGTCATCACAGCAAAGAGAAGCAGCCCTTGAGACGTGGAGAGCTGCTGCTTTTTCTGACAGGGACTTCAGGGATGAATGCTGACCTCCATGAAAGGCTGCCACTTGCCCTGCAGACATTTTGGCAAATAAATCTGTCTTGAAAAGAATGTCTTTTTCTTTCCAAAAGCTGAAGAGTGTCTTGATTGCTTAATTTGAAATGGGTCACTGCTCTCCAAGAAATGCAGACTCCGGCTTCCTTACAGCCATGACCCAGAGATGGGATCAACTGCCTAGTGACTGTCACCAGAGTCCCCTGTGCCCCTGTGTGCATGGCTTGTCCAAAGGGACAGAAGGGTCCTTGGGATGTACAGGGAGAGAAGATGGAAATGGTGGAGCGGTGGGTCACATCCAAACATCCTCTCAAGTAGGGAAGACCCATGCAGCACTGCAGCTCCCTCCTGGATTTGGGTAGTTAGAGACATCCCAGACTTGCAGGCAGAGATGGGGGTGATGACACGTGCCCAGAGCAGCCTGACTCGTCCTGCAGCTTCACACACTGCTCCAGGCCAGCAGCAGCTCTTCTGCCAGGAAGGAAACCAGGTCGATTTGGGAGCTGGATGAAACGTCACCGAACTTGCGTCAATCCCACCTCATCCAGGATGTAGAAAAACCTCGGATCCATCCTGAAACAATTCGTTGCATCCAAACCCACCAGCCTGCATCATTGCCCTGAGCCAGAGGTGCCAAAGAATCTAAACTATGTGGGCAGGGGAGTGGTGCAGGGAAGAGCATGTAAGTGCATGTCTGAGCAGGGAAGGAGAGCTGAGAGACCCTGGGTGCAGGTACAGCCCAGGCACATAGTCCCCCACTGTTTGGGTCCAGCTGTGTTCAGACACAAAGGCCTTGTGACTAAACAGCTGAACATCAAAGACCTCCCTGGTCCCATCTGAACCACTCTCCAGATGCTGAATCCCTCTCCTCTGCGGCAAAGGGAAGCAAAGCTCAGTGTGTGGGAGCAGGCAGGCTCAGTCGATCAGCTTGGAAGGCCATGATCCACCCCAACTTGGGTTTCCCCAAATAATTTCCCTGTTTCTGCCGCAACCCTGAAACAATTCGCTGCATCCAAACCCACCAGCCTGCATCATTGCCCTGAGCCAGAGGTGCCAAAGAATGGGACAAGGGAAGGGACAGCAGGGAGAGGGATGGCAAAAGAGCAGAAACACACAATGATGCCTTGCTGCAGGCTACAGTACCCCAACCTGGTGTCAGTGTAGGGACAGTCCCCTCCTGCCACCATCCTTGCTCTGGCTGCAGCCAAAGCACAGCTACAGGGTAGGCAGAAACTGCTTCATGGATGCAACGGAAAGCATCTTCTCCTGCTCCTTTGCATGCCAGGAGCTCTGAAGCTACAGACTTCATCGGTGCCCTCAGCGCTGGGCTCCATGGCTGAGCTGGAACAGGCTGTGTCCAGAGGCACGCGAGCACCTCGCAGGCTGCCACCATCCTGGCACAGAGCTCTGCATGAGGAGCTACGTCCTCAGGACGCCCTGGCAGGAGCCAGTTGCGCTGATTGCTGAGCTGCGCCAAGCCTTGCATCATGCCCTGCTGGGAATGTGGAGCTCTGGCACCACACCAAGCCCCGGGGCAATCTGCGGGGCTGACTGATCCCTGACCATGGCCCGACTGCAGCTCCAGCTTGTGTTCGCTTGTTCCTATGCCTTGCCGTCAGTGGGATGACGTGTTCCTCGTCTGTATCGTGAGCAGGTGGGAAGGAGTCTGCACTTCCCTGGCACCCAGAGCCTGTCAGAAAGGCTCAAGCGGGGCTCTGGAAACGTCATAAAACATAACAGCATCAGGCCCTTTTGTCAGTGCTTATTTCTTGGCAGAGGGAGAGGGAACATATCATCACTCTTGCTACATGCAGGATCGGCTATGACCTGCATCCCCTGGTTCCCTCGCCACCTACTTTAGGGTTGAATGTAGGTTAGGTAAAACATGA